AATACCAACAGTAGAATTAATTAAGATAATTTTACCTGTACCTGTGAATTGTCCTTAATCCTTTATGTATGCTCGATGACTTGACTTCTTAGTACCTTATCTTATATATATGTTTATGATGCTGAAAGTAATTGATACTACATACGAAGACTAATCTGGGGCATAATCAAGGGACTTTACCGCTTCCTTCTTCAATGAGGACTTCAACTAATACTTATCTTTGGACTCCGATTAAGGAATTTTTACGTCTTCTTTCGTTTATATTTTCAACAAAAGTTTGTCCTTGAACTACGGCTAAGGGACTTTCCACTCCCTATTTGAATACGGACTTTATTGACTATTATTTATTGGTATTGGCCATTGGTCTCTTGTGTACTGGCTGAATCTCCTCATTGATCGATGAACTATCACACAATCCCATGGATCAATGTTGTTCGCGAGTGAATAGAAAATCTCTCGAATTATATTCATTAGAAAACGTTCAATAAGCTATTAAAAGTGAATTAGTGAACAGACATGAAATCTAAGGTCTCGCCATGATTACTGGAGACTCGAAAAAGACGGCTTAATATCAAACTTGACTAGACTGGTTATACGAGTATAATCTTGAGCATTTGAATTATTTGAAAACAATAGAGTGAAAAACATTTCTCGAAATTGAAGGCAACTCGAAAGTCGGCACGTACGACGCTCGATAATTGGCGCCGCACGTGCGGTTATAATATTCCTATAATACCATGCATTGTTGTCAAATACGCCAAATGATGCCGCTAGCATCGGCTAGGCAAAGATGGTTGACCATGAAGCAACCCCCACCACGATGAGTCCCGAAGAGGGGAAAATAGTCCACTTTAGGCGTAACCGCCAGCGATGCTATTCCGACATTATTACAAGTCCATGCCTAATTTCCTCAGAAGTGGGAAAAGGGCGTATACAATTAGCATAACGCCGAAAATCGGCGCGCTCTGATTGGAAAACTAAGACCAGAAACTCCTTGAGTGGGGACTCATAGCAAGCAGCTTTAAAGGTGGGAAGAAAGCAGCGAAAAGTCGCTGTCCGAATCAAGAAATTGAAGCAACGTTCGATTAGAGACTCCTCCCTTAGAGCGCCTCTTGTGGCTTCAGAGCTAATTAAGGGTCTAGTCGTCTCTTGGTCTTCATGACAAGAAGACCTCTTGTTGCTGCTGCCACATGCGAAAGCATGTAGGCAGCGGAAAGGGGGGGGCTTCGCTGACGCATCTGGTGACAACATTACAACTTGTTGACAGCGGAAAGGGGATGGAAGATCCGTTTGCAGTAATGCTTGAAGTAGTTACCGAGCGGAACGATAATGCAGATGTCTAACTACGAGTTTTTCCCATGTTTATTGTATTTTTTTTCCAAATGTTTTATGACACTAGTGCTTGATAATTTCGAATAAGAAAGTTTTGAAATCTAAATACAATTTTTACGATGTTACTTGCCAGATGTTTTATTGCATTTAAAAAAAAAGGGAAAAGGTCTCGCATTCTCGAACACAATCAAATAGTATAGTTGAAATTATTTATTTTTAGGTATATTTCTAATTATAATATATGAAACGTTAAGTGTAATATCATAATACATTTAATTAATGTAATCTTCAGTATTTGAATATTTATAATATTCAGATCTTTTAATATTACCTTATTCAAGAAGATTTATATTTAATTCTTTATTCAAATACATGTAATTATTAATGTATTTATTACTATACTTATAATATTTTCATAAATCATATTAGAGAGAGTGTGTGTGTGTGTGTGTGTGTGTGTGTGTGTGTGTGTACTATATTCCAAATCAATTTAATTCCGATTATTTAATTATTTTAATAATTTGTTATGAAGAATTCTTTTTATTCTTATAATTGAAAACATATGTTAAAGAATTTTTATTAAATTTTTATAAATGTTTATCTTAAATGTTTATACATTATATAATTAAGCCCTTTATTGTTTTATTTTCACTTTTATATATTTTATAAAAATTTATTATTCGTATGAATATATTTATGAAATAATTTTGAAATAACAACTGTTTAGAATTGACTATGAAACCACTAAATGTCATGTTGAAAAAATGCGTTATTTTCCAAATACAGAGATGTTTATTGTTAATGTAGTTATTGATGATCCTTTGTGGCTCTGTGGCGATTGGCACGTGGCGTTAGTGTGCACTTCATTTGGAGGTAGGAAGTTGTAAGGTTCCTGATCTTTGTAACGTGGTTCCCATGGTAGGTTAACATGAGAAAGGAAGAGGTTGTAAAGCTCTTGCCACTTCTTCGAGTAGTGTCACGTAGGTAAAGTGTGACTGCGTCGGGCTCTTAGGCACATGTTACAGTTCCTTGACTGTGAGTAGTGTGCCTTAGCACGAGTTGCAAATTCTTCTAAATAAGTGAGTCGTGTGAGTGGGTACGAACCTTGAAATAGAACTAAGATCTTCCTAGACACATGCTGTGGAAAAAATAGGAAATTGTAGCTTATACCTTGAATTAGCCGTAAGCTTTAAAGTATGCTGTCGAGCCTAGTAACTGGAGAGACCGTGTGTGACTGGTGGCGCGAAACTCCATAAATTGAGTATTCTAGTTATGAAACTTTACTTCGGACTCAGCATATTGACTTTTCCTTTCCCTTCTTCTTGAGGACTTCAAGGTGAGTGAGAACGGTATGAGAGTCGTAGACGTTACTGACGCACTCTTGATTCATGCCCTTGATACACTCTGACACAAGGAGCTTCTTCTAAAGATGAGTGGGGGTTGTGCTCTTGATATATGTGCTGTAATTAGAGGCTAGAATTGACACGGTGTGACGTTGAATGGCGCGACGCCGGCTTCGTATGTGAGACGCGAGTGAAGATCTCCTTGGACTCCGGGTGGCTACTGGAAAGACCGTGTGTGAACTGATAGCAAAGCACTTTACTTTAAGAAGATTATTAACGAAGACTTTCTTCGGACTCAGCTGATATGACTTTTTTTCTTTCTCCTTGCGCACGAAAGGGTTTTAGTTGAATCGACAAGGTGGGCGGTGAATGACACGATGATAGGCTTCGTGCGTGTGGGGCACGAGCAAGTTCTCCTTTGGGTATAGGAGAAATTAGTTAGGATTATGTTGCGTTTACCTTTGAAACGACTTTGACCCTGAAATGCTGACATGCTCCGTGAACTGGCTCCTGGAGAGACCTTGAGTGGAAGATGGTGGCTATGGCACCGTGAGTTGACAAGATTATAAACGGAGACATGGCTTCGGACTCAGCAGAGGGAACTTGCCCTTTCTTGATGACTTTAACATGAGTGTTTGGATATAGTGTTTTTCCCTCTTAAATAGTTCACTGATCCTGGTATCCACTCGGGATCCCTTCCCTTTTCTTGTATCCAATCGGAAATCTTACCGGTTCATGGGCGAAAGCAGCGCCTCTCGCGGCAGAGTCTTCAATCAAGAAGCTTATTCTTTTTATTGCTCTAGAACGAAGAAGAGCAATCGAAGAAGAAGAGATTACGTTGCTATCAGCGGCTCTGGCGGCCACATGGCAGACTTAAATAATGTGGGAGGGGCGAATGCATGTCAGTGAATCTCAACGTTTGGGTGGGGGTTGGACGACCGTTTCAAGAAAACTCTAACACCTGAGTTTTCCAGAAATTTTAGGCTTGTTTTGCTAGATGATTTATAATATAAATGCCAGATGTTTTATTATTAGGCATTTTCAGGAGTCGACCGTCTAGTTAATCCTTTTGTGTACGCAAGATATTTAAGACGACTTAAGAATGTTTTCGCAATCTCGAACAGCAACCTATGATTGTAAAATTTCAAAACTTTGAACATTATGACCAAATTAAGCCAAATTAAATTAAATTGATTTTTTTAACCATACACATTTAGTTCTATATATAATTTAAATTATTCATTGTAAAATTATAATTTTTAATTTTTTCAAAATATTAGTTTTTACATTGTTACTCCAAAGCTTAATATAAGTCTTTCTGTTTTTATATATTTATTTATTATTAAATTTAATTATTTTTTTATATTTTAATAATATCATTATTAAAATTATTTATATTAATTAAAAAAATTGTAACTAATTAAATTGATGGTATGATTTAGGTTATTTTAGGTTAAAAATAATATTTATGTGATGAATATTATATTTATATATTTAAATATATTTAAATTTTTATAGTTATACAAACAAAATAAATTAAATATTAAATTAAACACAGAATAACATTTTAAATCTTATTTTTAAAGGAACTGAATCGATTCCAGTATATCAAAACAATTAACTATCATATTTGTCATTTAAAATAACCTTTATTTATTATTTATTTAATAAAACATATGTAATTGTCGAGATATTTTAAAATTTTACTTTAATTTTTAGTAACTAATATATACATTTCTTTTGAATTTAAAAACATAAAACTTTAATTGGGTAAGTGTATTATGAAAATATTTGATATCTATGTTATATTTAAAAATATGTATTACATTATTAGTTGTGTTTCAGTTGCTTATATTAATATATAAAAATATTTATATCTTAACTAAGATTATAATACAGAATATATTTTATGAATTTATTTATATTATTGAACATATTTTTTATATTTATATTTTACTAAATTATAAAAATAGTTAGTTTAAATAACCACCTAACTCATTTATATATTAATTACATAAATAACAAAGGTTAATAAGCATCTATTTCGAAAATTTGATTAAAAAAAATAAAATTATTATGTTAAATAATAAAAATATAATTCAAATTCTTCTGCTTGTACTTATAAAAAAGGTAAAATAATCATTTATTCGAAAATTATATTTTATTCTAAAAAATATACATAAAATATTTAATATTTGAATTGCCCAAACATAATAGTTTTTTTCATTTATACCATTTTTATATAAAAAATTTTAACGCATATACGATGAAAAAGAAAATGAAAAAAATAAAATGTAAGGATAAGAAAAAAACAGGCGCTGAACATGACCGTATTAGCAAAAGATGCGAATTAAGTTCTGATCTTCAAATAGAAGATGCAATCAATATACATCAGAATAAAGTGTGGCATAAAAAAATTATGAATCTGTACTTACCAATTATAATAGAAGATGTTGAAATTACCTGGCGCACTTTTAATCAAATTGTTGACGAAAAAGAATATAGGTATATGTTCTATTTATATAATAAAAATCTATATATAAATAAATGAAAATATATTTTTATTATGAAATGAAAAATTTATTTAAAATTATACATGAAATAGTAATAAAAAATCGATAAATTATAAAGATAGTCATAAATGTATTAATAATGTAATTAATAATTAATAATTAATAATGTAAATTAATAACATAAATAATTAATAATGTAGTATTAATAATCTAACTTTATATACGTAAATTTATTTTTACTATTTTGCATCCTTGTTTAGCATTTACTACGAGACCACTAGATGTTATGTGGGAAAATGCGTGGGCAAGTAGAAGGGTTAGTGCATTGATACAATAGTTAACACAGTTTCTTATTGCTATTTATTCTACCTATTTTCCAAATACAGCGATGATTATTGTTGATGAAGTTATAGATGAACTTTTGTTACTCATTGGCGAATGGGACGTGGTGTTAATATACACTTCGTTTGGAGGTAGGAGGTTGTAAGGTTGCTGATCCCCGTGACGTGTTGCCTTTGATGGTAAATTACCCTGAGAAAAGGGAGAGATTGTAAAGCTCTCGCCACTTCTTCGAATAATACCACATGGGGAAACTGTGACTGCGTCGTGCTCTTAGGCACACTCTGCAGTTCCTTGTCTGTGAGTTGTGCTCTTGGTTGATACGAGCTGCATATAAGTGAATCGTATGAGTGAACACGAGCCTTATAATAGAGGAAGGATCCACACGGTATTATACGTAGTGGTGCGAAGTAGGCTACATACGTGATAAACATGAGCGAGAACCTCCTTCCCTCCACAAACTGGCGATTGGAGAGACCGCGTATGACATGGCGCGAGACACAGAAAATTGAATACTAGTTATGAAACTTTACTTTGACTCAGCTGATTAACATTTCTCTTCCCTTTCTTCGAGAGGACTTCAAGGTGTAAGAATAAAAGTAAGTGTTTCAATATTGTACGTGTCCCTCTTAAATAGTTCACTGACCGAGATTCCACTTGGGACCCCTTCCCCTTTTTTGTTTCCAATCAGAGCGCAGCCGTTGGGCAGTTTGATTGCGCATGCACACCTCTTTTCCCATTTCCTTCGAATTTAGGCTTTGACAATGCGTGTAATGGGTTTTTATGATACTCCGGCTAGATATTTAATGGTACAAGAAAAAAGAACAGTAAAATTATTAAATTACATATAGGTGATTATAATAATTATAGTTGCCTACGATGATAATTATCCAATTTTTTTGTGTTCATTTAACTTTATATTACAATATTAAGTAAGCTGAATATAAAGTCTAAATATTTATAATTCTTAAAAATGATAACTATATATATAACGTTTTTTATACTTTTAATTTTTTCTATGACTGTGGTGATGAAACATGGTTAATATATGTTTGCTATATAAAAGGGTTTGTCAAACTTTTTTTTTTAATAGAGAATAAATAGCAAAAAAAATATTAGTCATAAAAAGACACAAAAACGAATTAATAGATTTAAATAGATTCAATAAAGTAAGCATCGATCTTTTGAACATTTTATTAAATTTGAAAATCAATACAATTAATAGTTTTGAAAATAAAATTTAGAATATCTAGTCATTTATATATCTATATAAAAAGCTTAGTTTGAATATACCACCATTTATCAGATCACAAAACCTAATAGTACTGTAATATTAAATATAATCACAACAGTTCTAAATCACAATAAAGTTAAATATGCTTGCATAAAATATATATACACCAGTGCATTCTAAATATCAAGTATATTTCTAGTAAAATAAATAACGATATAAAAATTAGAAAAGTAAGTGTAAATAATTACACGATTCAACAAAATATTATAAAAAAATGTTTTATATATTTTTTGTTATTTAAATATTTCTATTTTAAATATTGGTATTATAGTCTTTAATTGGTATTATTATATTTAAAATATTAATCTTTTAAATCTTATATATTAAATATGAACCACTTAAAGATAAAATAGTGAACAAATAAAATTAATATATATCTACAAAAATATATAAAATTTCCTTTGTTCCTTTGTGTCTTTAATTATGTAAGGGGACAGTAGAAGAATTTAGTCAAAGGTAAGAGTAATTAATGGTGAGATATCTAACTCGTGAAGGATTTAATAATCTGTATTTATAGTCTATTAGTCGATCTGTTGTTGTCCTTGTGTGACAATATGCTTTGAGGCATAGCGACTCTTGCATCAGCTGTTGATGGTTCCGAAGTGCTCTTCGGAAGAACGTAAGTTTGACCTGTATCTGCCAAAGGCCTGACTGGCCCCGAAGTGTTCTTCGAAAGATCGATCTATTGTTGTCCTTCCTTGACAACGTGCTTAACGCATAGCGACACTTGTGTCAGCTGTTGAGGGCCTGTACGGTTTCGCGAAGTGTTAGTTCGAAAGAGCGTAAGTTTGCCCGATCGACTCTTATGGGCCGGTACGGTTCCAAAGTGTTCTTCAGAAGAGCGTAAGTTTGCCGGACTTCAAAGGGTGTTGCCATTTTCCTTGGGATCCTTCGATCCTTCAGAAAGCCTCCTTTGTTATGTGGAGCGCAGGCGGCGGCTTACGTTTTTTTTTTTTAACTGCTGATGAATTTTCAAACAATGACAATCCTTAGTAATTTTCCAGCGAAGAATATTTATGTGTTTGTTTCGGTGAAAATTTGATATAGTTTCCGTAGCCAACAATGATGTAGATTTTGATGATTTATTAATGATTTATTATTTATAATTTATTATTTATTTCTTAATGATGTAGCGGGTCGTGTTCCTTATCGAAATTGTTCCTCTCGTGTAAGTTGCTATGGTCCTACTTCTGGTGAATTGGATTCGTGATGGTCCTGTCCACCACAATAGATGTTCTTGAATTTATGTTGCACGTATGTTTTGTGCACCATGTGTTGGATCTGAAGTCCAAGGGACTCATCTCCAGTGCGCCTTTGGTGTTTTGTCTTAACAGCTGGATAACCCTGTTTTCACATACTCCTTTCAACTTGATAGATGGGACTTTATCCATGTGAGGGTTAGTGTAAATCATTCCAGCAATGGATTGCCTTGACGTCGATTTTCTCTGTGGCGAAATCGCTCTATATGAACCTTGGATCGAGTAAGGCTGCAGTAAGCTCTGGTCTTGGGACTCTCTTAAGCAAAGGTGGATGTCTCCTTTGTCTTGGAACACATTACATAGCCATTATTTTATTTTATTCGTGCACTGATACGTACATGACTGCCGACTTTGTCAATTTTAATGCATCAGAGAATCCATGTAGTTCTCTATGTGAGGTGCTCCTTATGTTGAGCCAACGTGGCATGTAGAGGTCGGTCGGGTTGGTGAGATCCCTTCTGGGTGTCAGCTATTGTGTAGAAGTCTGAGATTGCATGATCTTGTCCCATTGAGCTTGTGCTATCATAGCTTTTGCTTAAATGTTTTTTCTCAATTGAATGAACGTCCTTCTTTTCTCGACATACGCGTGTCCTGTTGAAAAGACTATCTTTTGATTTTGGTGTAGCAATCGTCGAGCGTAAGCTGGGTATTCTTTCTTTAAATTGCTCTTATTGCAGTGATATGATATCTTGCTGATTGCATGCCATTTTTCCAAGGGGAGACCGCCCGCCATGCGGAGGTCTGGTAATTATGCTGCTGCTTCAGTTGCTTGTTTGTGTCTGCATTTTCGGAACTGTCATCGACATGCCTTTCTTGAATGATGGAAGTCATGGCAAGAGGGTATGCATTTCCCTCGTTCTTTATTATTGCAGTAGTGTTTCAATTGTCGGAAATGGATAACCTTGTAAGTGTTTGTGTTAGGTGGCAACTGATAAAGTACTTCCCTTGTTGTTCGTCTATTAACAGTGTTCTCTGATGGTCCAACATTATCCTTGTGAGTTTTGGTCTCTCTGTACTCTTTAGTGGCATCGGTGGTGACAAGAAGCATCGTTGTCTTCTGAGCCAGATTGAAAACTCTGAAGTATCTGTATTCAGATTGGGTCTAATATACATGATGTGGTGATACTGTTGATTGAACGATGGAGGAGTTTTCATCATGTGATTGAGATCCCGGCACTCCAACATATAACTGGTGGAATGTCTTCGTGGAATGTTGATTGATGAACATTGATGAATGTCTGTGTTGAACCTGTGTCGATTGGAAGACTTACTGAAGTAGAACACATACTGTTGTAGGATTTGACAGTATTTAAAAAACAAGGCTGTGGCTAGTAATGCAGTATTTTGCATTTGTATTTCGATGATTGTACCATCATTTCAGCTGGATGATGGCACTATAGCCTTCTTGATAATGGCTTCATTTAGAAGAGCTGCATACAACATTAAGTGGTGGTAGCCTTTACATTTTGTGTATTTAGGAGAGTGCGGTGCATGAACCCATGTCGTGACGATACAAACTGTTTATGCATACTCCTCGCTTTTCCAACAGGTTCTTTCTTCCTGCGTCTGCCATGTTCTTAAGTTCTTCACAATGATATATCATATGTCTTCTGTCACAGCACACGCACCATCTTTCTTTATGTTGAAATGTAGGCTGATTCGGCAGAGGTTTACTAACACATATCTGATAACAGTTGGAGGACTACTTTGAGTGTATTGATTCTGCATACGTTAACATTGTGATGTGTTTGACAATTGAAGCATGGTCCTGTCATCTTACTTTGTTTTGCTTTCTACGATTCGCATGTTCATGAGTTGTGCACATACAAGCGTTGAGTGTCTGTGGGTGCAGCATTTCTTTTTTGCGCTTGTCATCTTGTGCCGGAGGATTCGGCTTGTCGTTCATTTATACTTTATAAATCTTAAATGACCTTTTCATATGTTGTTGTAGTCGCACAATGCTTCTAGATACTCGTCCCTTGTCTTTGGGTTGAGTCCTCATGGTCTTATTTTCCTTAGTGTCCTCATACGATATGTCAGGAATTTACAAATTGTTCAATGCATGAATTTGAGGTGATTGGGCTAGTTGATGCTTCCCAC